TTTATTCACATTTGGACTGGCACATCAAGAGGGCCCAATACCCATCACGTTTTGCAGAACCTGGTGGGCTCATTTTCATGCAGGATAGCAAGGGCGATGCTACAGCTGGGAACAATGAAGGTCCTGCAGACAATCCTAGAGGAATTGCCCCTAGAGGACCAGGTTCGGAGAAGATATCAGTGGAAACCCTGAAGAGGGAGATGTGCCTGTCCAGAGATCAGGAACCCAGGCTGGTAACTGCCACCACCCCTTGCAATCTCATATTTGTTTTCTGAACAAATTGTATTTGTTAAAACAAACTTTGTAAATTATCACCAAATAATCTACTGTCATGGATTATATGCCATGCATTGCTCTCTCTCTCTCTCCGTGTCTACAGCATAGTGCAGAAACCATGCCATTTGCAAGGTACACCCTCCACTCCCACTCTGTCCCCCACCTTTTCCTGCTATAAACATCCTCTGACATGGGAGATCCAAAATGCATGCAGAGCAGGAAAAAAAATATTAAAAACAAGCATTACTATTTTTTAAAAGAATTAGCAGTACAGGCTGTATAGATTGTGCTAAACTCCACAGTCTTTAGAAAGCTGGAAAATGCAAATCAGTGTCCCTTTGTATCCCTTCATTCCATAGCACTCAGTTAGGAGAGAAGGGTGGGGTGATCATTGGGTTTCATACTCTGCTTGGAGCAATGCTTTTTATCCTAGCTCAGGATTTGGTCACTTTCCCTCATTTTCTCCCAGTCCTGGTAGCTAGTTGTAGCAAATTTTTCATGCAGCATGAATTCTAGATAGTCTTTCAGATTAAGTGCAAACCGGTTAGGACCACCTTGATAACTCACCAAACCTCTCCACTCACTGGTATGTGGTGCGGTGACCATATGCCTAAAAATCTCCTTGTCATATATCAATGGATCCCCACCACTGAAAAGTCACATCTTTTTTTCTATTACAGGTATTAGAAAGACAACTATACCCTCAATAGGTTGTCCAGCTTCCAAGAAAGAAAAGCCATGCTGATAACATAGCCCTAAAGTGGCTTGCTATGGATCTGTAGCAGAGAGAGGTAGTCAGCTCCCAGAGGGCCATAGCAACCCACTTCTATATTAGCAAGGCATCCCTCAATCAAGTCCTCTGGCACCAAGCTCCTCACACAGCTCCATGAAGGTATGTTTCCTCATGCAGAAGTTCTGGAGTCACTGCTGGCCCTCCCAAGTCTGCAGGATCTTGTAATCCCATCACACTATGCTAGTTCTCCTGCACCAGACACAGCAGTAAACCAAAGGGGAGGCCAACAGCAGAAATGAGAGGAATGTACAACCTACAACACACCACAAAGCAGTTCATAGAGTGACTCCAGTTGGTCTGACACAAAGAACGCTGGGATTCTACCCCTGAAATTGTAGCACAAAGCAGATGCACATGGAACACCAGTGTGGGCGGAAGTTCTCCCTGACAGCTTGGGACTTCAGTACCCTGTCTTGCTGAGCTAGACACGTTAGCCTGCTACAAACACAGACCCAGGTCTGAACCACGCCCCCAACAAGCTGAAGGCTTAACTGA